ACAATCTTGAAAAAAATAAAACCCGTAGGACTGAAGACTTCCTAATTTTAGATGTTAAAAAGCTACACTAATTAAATAGTAGAGTATTAGCAACAAAGAGGAAATAAAAATGAGTGTGTTATGAGTATAACGTTTTTTTCACTGCACTGAAAATGTTCTGGAATTAGATAAAGGTGATGCTTGCACAATATTGCTAATAGTCTTGAAACAGTGAATAGTACATTTCAAAATTGTTAAAATGATTAATTTTATGATTTTAACCTCAACTATTCAAAAGGTCTAGCTCAGTGGTTCCGTCGCCTGCTTTGCAAGCGCAGGGATCAGAGTTCGATACCTAGTACCAAAAAAACAAAAACAAACAAAAAGGTCTATATGAAAACCAGGTTACACTCTATAAGTGAAAAGGATGTGTAGTAACTAGGACTCTTGTAGATTGCTGAATAAGAGCTTAAAATTTCAGTAGTTTTATACTGCCAAACATTCAGTTAACATGTGATCCAGCAATTCCAAAAAAAATTATACATATTCAAAAAACTTGCATACAAATGTTCACAGCAAATTTATTCACACAGCTTTATTCTATACTATAAACTATCCAGATACCTATCAACAGGTAAATGGATAAATTGATGTGTATGAGCACACACACACAAATGGAATACTACAAGCAATAAAAAATAACGAACAACTAATATATGTAATATGACCAAATCACAAAAATACTACACCAGGTAACATAATTATAATCCACTGGAGATTGGAAAGTGGAATGAAGTATTCTGAGATGACTGACAGAAATGTTCTATATTCCGTTTGGAGCGATGACACAGATGTACATATCTGTTAGAATCCATCAGTATATATGCTTACGTGTATGGCATGTGGAGCAAGGATATTAGAAAGTTTTTAAATGTACATGATGAGACTTCTACGGGTCTTAAGTGAACCAACCAGTCTCACTGGGTGCTCAACACAGGAGAAAAGCAGGAAGTAGGCTCAGTAGGTCATTGACAGTTTAGTTTAGGGTATAAGAACCTCTAAACCACTTTATCTGTAATACCACCTATAGATGCCACACCAGCCTCTGAATCACATTTTCTAAAAGAGATCTACTGCATTCTCCATCTTCAATAATTCACTTAGGTTGTGTTCAAAGATTTGATGAATGTTTTCCTAGCTCATTGTCACCTTAACCAAGCCTATCCTTCTATATGCTAATCCTGCAAAACTAAGAACTTAAGCTCAAAGAATCTTAGGCCCTCCAAGTCTCACCAGGAGACTCTAAAATGTGAAGATTAGATAATAAAAATAGCAACAGAACATACTTCAGAAGGAACGTGCCAAATAGCAAATGAATCAAATAGGAATTATTAATATTGATGGCCCCAGGTGAGCAGAAGATAAAGACTGAATCTAAGCTAAGTTGCTATAGGTAAGAAAAACAATTGATAGCCAGAGGAAAGACTTAAGCACAAGAAAAAAAAAAAGAGCAAAGTGGTAAGTATCACAGAAAAATTAATTTGTCTAGAAGCTACAGTATAAAATTTGTACTTGGGGTCTGGGATTGTAGCTCAGCAGGGCAACTTCTGCCTAGCAAGGGTGAGGCCCTGAGAAAGAAGAAAAAAAAGAAAGACCAAAAAAATTATTTTTGTACTTGGATATGTGTGACATAATCTGAAAAAAGGATCTAGGTCTCAACTGATAATCACAGAAATTTATGGAGTAGACTGAGCAAATATTACCTTCATTTACAGATAAGAAAACTCTAAAATTGGAAGATTATAATATTTGTCCAAGGTCATAAAACTACTTAAAAATAGGAGCAGTACTGAATGACATTCATTTCTCTTGATTCACAACCAAATGCTCATTTAATGAGACCATGGTCTGCTCAATGTTCTCCCATTTTACTTAATAGAGCCCTTAACCAAGTTTCTCACACAAATAATACTTCCCCTATTCGATTCTTCCTGAATGTAAAACCCTTCATCTGAAAAAAGCACATTTTTAAATTTACCAATGGAACTCATCCTTGCTATGACAGGTATTGTTTTCTTTACTGGTCACAGGTATACCCCTCCACCCCAACCAAGTGCTCCTTCTGTGGCTACTAAAAGGTTTGGGGTCCAATAATATTTATTTTAGAGACTAACCTGTACAGTAGATTTTCCCATATCCTCACAAAACCTTCCAAAGACCCAATCTTCCTCTCCTATCACTACACTTTATAAATTTTTTAACACTACACATAACCTGTCTCAACTTCAAATCCATCATTTTTATTTAGCACTTACCTTCACCATCTACTCAAAATCTCATTAAGGAAATCAACATCTTTCACACTAAAATTAAGGCCTATTATTCAAGTCTTAGCCTTTTTGAACTTCCTGGGAGATAGAGGAGCTCCCAAGGTTCACGAGAACAATTAATGAGTTCTTACTCTATGCCAGGCAGTGTACTAATTAAGATTTCAAAGATGTTCTATTTAATCTTCACAACAGCTCTAACTTTACAATAGCTCTAAGCCATTTTACCCTTTCACAGATTAAAACTGAGGTCCCAAATTAACCGCAGCCATACACTAGAAACCTGAATGGTAGGGTCTGTAATTCTGACTTCTGACCATCTTTGTCCTCAGTTCTCCTTTCTGTGCTCTTTCTCCATCTCTTTCAATCTCATTTCATGATCTTCTGCTTACTTCATTTCACATGCTGTCTGGGACAATGTCGGTGTCTCTCTCAGCTATTCTGTATTAGTGACTCTCAACCTCTTAATAAACACAAGAATCTTTCGCTCACTCTGTACTTTATATTTTGAAAACAGGTCCTTTTCCCAAATGAAATTGTAACGTTGCACATGCATGCCCACAGTGTACCTCCTCACACCTCCAGGATCTGCTAACCTCTTATGCGTAACCAGTGACTGAGATCAATCAGTACAAAGTCTACGTAACTTTGCATTTCCCCTCCTTGTATGGCCCCCGAGATCCAACACCTCCAACCATCTAACAAACACAGTTTAATAAACAGTCCCTTGATTGTCACTGCAGTTTCTTCAGCCTAAACCTGTCCAAAACAAAATTCTCGTTCCCCGTCAAGCCTCATCATTTCCCGTGTTTTCCATTTTGTCTCAGGTGTCACAATCCACCCTCAACTGTGCTATACGATACGTTTGCAGAATGATTCATATCGACTCTGCTGTCCCCGAACTACAGCCAGGTCACAAATTAACCACTACACAATGCGTGCCCATTATGACCAGGAGTAAAGTAATGCAAAATAGTACAAAAGATCATTCTCTTAAGTAGGTTACAAGCAGAAACAACCAAAAGCAACTTTTGTGAGGCATTGTTCCACTCATAAAACAAAATGTAAACATTTCAAAACCTGTCCGTGTGCTCCTTCCTTACACAGGCCCACTGCCCCATTTTACAGCTTTAGAAAGGGACTCCTTTGCCCACTCTCATTGCTGAAATACACGTACACACGCGAAAAGGGCAACCGGGCTGCGGAGCAGGCGGGGCCCCGCGCGCGGAGTCTACCGGCTCTAGGCGGCCCAGGCCCGCACGTCCGGACAGCGTACCTGG